ACCACCAGGACGGACCACCAGGACGGATTCACAGGACGGACCATCAGGACGGATAAACAGGACGGACCACCAGGACGGATGAATAAGACAGACCACCAGGACGGATTTACAGGACGGACCACCAGGAAGGATTAATAGGACAGACCACCAGGACGGACCCCCAGGACGGATCACCAGGACGGACCACCAGGACAGACCAAGAGGACGGACTACCTGGACGAACCACCAGTACGGACCACCAGGACGGACCACCAGGACGGACAACCAGTAACGGTTAACCAGAGACGGACCACCAGGACGGATTCACAGGACGGACCACCAAGACGGACTACCAGGACGGACCACCAGGACGGATTCACAGGACGGACTACCAGGACAGACTACGAGGACGGACTACCTGAACGGACCACTAGGACGGACCACTAGGACGGACCACCAGGACGGACCACCAGGACGGACCATCTAGACGGACCATCTAGACGGACCATCTAGACGGACCACCAGGACGGACCACCAGGAACGGTTCACCAGGATGGACCACCAGGACGGATCACCAGGATGGACCACCAGGACAGACCACCAGGACAGAMCAACAGGACGGACTACCTGGACGAACCACCAGGACGGAACACCAGGAACGGTTAACCAGGACGGACCACCTGGACAGACCACCAGGACGGACTACCTGGACGAACCACCAGGACGGACCACCAGGACGGACCACCAGGACGGACCACCAGGAACGGTTAACCAGGACGGACCACCAGGACGGACCACAAGGACGGATCACCAGGACGGACCACCAGGACAGACCAACAGGACGGACCACCAGGACGGACAACCAGGACGGTTCACCACCAGGACAGTTCACCACCAGGACGGTTCACCAGGACGGACCACCAGGACGGACCACCAGGAAGGATTAATTTGACAGACCAGAAGGACGGATTAAAAGGACGAACCACTAGAAAGGATTAAATAGGATGGAATAATTGGACGGATTAATTGGACAAAATTGTAAGACAAATAATTGCACACCAGTAGTAACGTTTGCTATACGGTAACGGTGAAAACATTAGTCTCGCTGGATCAGATCCATGCATTAATTCGGTCATATTACGCCCGTCTGACCCTCGAAGACCTTAGGTCAGCCATCATCGTTTTTACCTACCTTCCATTTTTATTTACCAAATATCTAACATTTTTATGTTTTTCTCAGTTGCTACTCTTTCAAACTCACAATTAATGAAAACGTTGTTCACTCTTTGTCCAACGCGTAAAAACACCTGAAGCAATGAAATTACATTGATATATTTCCTACTGTTAGACTACGTCTCCCTGACATTTAGCTAATGCAATGTTAATAAGTTAATAGTAGATCGCAGTTTAAGTGATTCATCAGCAGTTTTATAGTTTGGCCT